AATTGGCACCAAAGGAATTAAGTTTTTATGGTCCTACCAACGAACATTATTCTAACCTTCGGTAAATCTAATTTTGAGCCACTTTTGTGCATTTCTTTCAATTCGTGTCAATTTGTCCATGAATTGTGTCAATTGTGTCTTTTAAAGTAACAACCATCTTGTTTTCTATGTATGACATAAACTAATGTTTTGGCTCGTAATTGATCCAGTCAACTCATCAGAAGTTTAACTGATGATTCGTTCGAAGATTGGTTAACAAGTTCAAGGATGTTCCTCAATGAAATGGCAACAGATCAAATAGACACAGATCGTGGGTGGTTTGTAGAGCTTATATTTATAACTTTATGTCAAGTAAAACCAAATTTTACTATTGGATTCCGAGAATAAAATGAGGGACTAATTGAGATGGTAGTAAGTACAAAGGCATTGGCCTGTCGATAAAATGAAGTCTCTTAACTTTTTCCTACAACAATACTGATCGAAATTAAGATTATTTAATCTGATATTCAAACATTGTATTGATCTGCATTATTGACTTACAATGTTAGTTGAAAATGTGCTTGCCATCAGTTAAAATGAACTGGAAACTACAGATATTTGTTTTCCTTTTTTTCAATGTTACAATTTGTTCGTCCAAATTAATTGTGAAAACTGAATGGGGTTCAATCAGAGGATTTTATGAGAAGTTTGGTGACAAGCAGATTCGGTCTTTTCTTGGTATTCCTTATGCTCTTCCACCAGTGGGTCCTTTAAGGTTTCGGAAGCCAATTGAATTAGTTAAACCTTTCAAAGGCATTTACAGAGCCAAAAATTTTGGTCCTGCTTGCCTCCAATCAGAAGTGTTCCGAGACGCTCATACACCAAACTCAACAATCAGTGAAAATTGTTTATTTCTCAATGTTTGGACACCAGTTGATGTGTCCAAGAAAAAGTTGTATCCTGTTCTTATTTATATCCATGGAGCTGCATTTACTTTTGGTTCAGCAGAATCTACTAGTCAAAGAGGCGACATTTTAACAGCACTCAACGACATTATAACAGTCAATCTCAACCATCGATTGGGTGCTTCTGGACTAGCTTATGCTGAGTCAGATGCAATTGTTGGTAATCAACAGTTACATGATATAATTATGGCACTAAAATGGGTCAAGAGGAATATTGGTGCTTTCGGTGGAGACCCTAACCAAATAACATTATCCGGAATGAGCTCAGGAGCTATTTTAGCCTCTGCCATCTTTTTATCTCCTGCGGTCGAATCTGGTCTTTTTAATAAAGTTTTCTTAATGAGTGGAGTCTCAATAGATCAAGTGAATACTTATAATCCAAAGAAAATTTTAAAGCAAACAAAGTCCTTGTCAAGCTCACTTGGCTGTTCACATTATTCAAGTTCAAATGACTCCTTTCAAATTGGCGAAATTAAATGTTTGAAAAAAGTCAAAGCAAAATCAATAGCAGATACGCTCGAAAACGTACTTTTTTACCCAATCTACAACGACGGTAACATTTTCCCTGAATCGCCTGTCCAAATTGTGAACAAAAAATCATTTCCTAAAGGCTTGAAATTTTTAATTGGAACTGAAGCTGATGAAAGTTTTTTTACAAAAGCATTCAATCCAACAACTAAGGAAGAGGCTTTGAGCAATATGGAGACACTCATTTCAGCTCTTGACGTTACACAACTCAACATGACAGATTTGTTTATGAAATATTTCGATGGAGTGGACGATAATAATGCTACTTTGATTCGTAAACGTTTCGATGAAATTGGCTCTGATCTTCAATTCCACTGTCCTTCATTATTGTATTCTGCAGCCTTCGCGAGCAATTCATACAATAATGTTCACATCTTTCGAAATGATTATGTTACTTCTAAATACAATAGATCTGAGAGACCCAATGGAGCTCGTCATGGCGATGTTCAACGTATATTTTTTGGTGACCCTTTCAGATCACCTGAAAATTTTCCAGATGACCGAGATAGAGAACTAAGTCGTTTCATGATGAAAACATTATCCGATTTTGTTAGAGGAAAGGAATTATTTTGGGGCTCAATAAAAATCAATGGAAATCATTCTGATAACATTTCACTTCCACGATGGCGTATACAAAACAATGAACAATTTGATAAAGTTGATTATGATGAAGATACAGATTTATGTTTAGAATGGGCTAAATATTTTAATTTACAGATTTGATTAAAGCCTGTGCAATGGAACCAAATAACAATCGATTTTAACTTGTAAATTAAATAACTTCTCAATGCTCATAATTATTTTCATTATCCATTTTCATATACAGTGTCTGACTTAATACCTTCAAATTAAAAGAATAATCAATGTGAAAATCAATGTTAATATTATTTGGGTTTAAATGCTAAAATTGTCTGAAATGAATTGTTTGTCATTTTTCAGTGCTAAACCTTTCTTTATTACGGAGAAACAGTTCAACAAGGTAATTTTATTGATCAGTCTTCATGCACTCATTAATGGCAATGATGCAAAACGTTACATCAACAATTGGATCATATTAATGATTAGACACTAATTATCTTAACTCATCACATGATAATTGTATCAATTTTTCATCATATTCAGTTCTTTATGCTGTTTATCTTCATGTTTAGTTGGGTAGGAAAAATAGATTTCCGTGTGAATAATTAGAAGGTTGATTTGCAGATAATATATTCAACTAATTAAGTTTTATTTCAAAAATTTTAACACTCTGCATTAAGTTATCATGATTAATTGTGGATCTTTGCTCACATCGGCGGCACATGTAAAATCGTCGGGTGTTTTTGGCAGTTGGCCCATTTTAATTTCTTTAGTGATGAGTTTCATTTCTTGAGTTTGGCGATTTGAAACAATAGTTTGGTTTAACTTTTTGTATCACTATGAAAAATGTCCATTAGTTTATTACTACATAATAACATGGCTTTTACCTTTGGGTTTTAGTCATAGATTTTAGTCAAAAGGAACATTTTTATGTAGACAAAAAATGATAATATCATACTACAGCGAAGTGTTTCTCCATTTTTATTAACAAAATGTGCTATTCCAGTATAAGGACTATTTATAATCTTATTTGGATTTAAACAAAAACTACTATAATTATCCCAGCGTCAAGCCGATTCCAAATCTGTAAAGTGGATTTCTACCGTGGACAATATGCCCACTCAAAGTAAGAACAAGCGGTAATGGCGCTAACTTTTTCTCATAGACTCCAGTGATACCAAAATCAGAGCTAATGGAACCTGATTGGAAATGGAGAGAAAAATAATTAGTGGGTTGTGATAAAATGAATTTTTGCAGGAAACATACCTTTAAAAGTTGCATCCAATTTGGGTAAATCTACTTGATAACCGAATTTTGCATAACTTTCGCGCATCTTAATATTAGTATCGACTTCTACACCATACTGAAAAGCAAAAAAGATCAAAACATTAGATATTGAAATTTAGCTCGAAAGAACACAATTTACCTGAAGTTGATCGCTTGCTTTTTGATAATAACAGGCATGAAGTTGATGAGGACTAAATGTTCCACTTAAAATGAAGTTGTTTGGAGAAGTATAACGTGCAGCCACAGAAAGTGCTATAAAATTGCAAAAAAGCATTCATCAGTATTGATCATTTGTAAAAGAGATAACGTTAATTTTTGCTGAGCTTACCTGATATAATTCCATCGGGAATTTGGGGACCGAATTGGACAGCTAATTCTGCACCTAAGTCTACAGTTGGTGTGACTGGTTGAAGATAATGAAATATAGACATCCCTGAGAACGTTACTGGGTCAAAATTGCCTAAAATGACTGATGCAGTATAGTTATCTCCTTTGTAATCATTTGAAACTTGATAACCAGCTGTCTTTGAATCTTGAATCTGAACAATGTTATAAATAAGA